TAGCCTCCCCATCCAACCGCGATCTCATTACTTAGCCTTATATAATTTTGCATACTAATTTTTTTAATGCACTGCAGCCGGCTGGTAGCTTACCGGAACGATGCCCGTCGCTTACCGGTAGCTCAGCCAGCTTGCGCCAGTTGTTCCTCTCTCTCTCTCTCTCTCTCTCTCTCTGTTTTCTTTGTATTGCGGCAAGCTGGCTTGCCGAACAATCTCCTCGTCGTGCCAGCTGGGTGGTTCGGGATTTTCACGTTCCAGCAAATGGTTCGGCGGCAGTGTTCCAGGACGTGGTGGGTTTTCGCCTGGCAAGCGTTCTCCCTATAAAAAGCCACATATGTCCGTTTAACAACACTGTGACGTGGCGGACGTGACTCGCCACTAAATAAAGTCACTGCCCCTTCCTTCATCCTGGCGAAGCATTGTATTCCAGCAACGTCATGCTGTACTTCTGGGGAGCATTGGGCCCCTGTTTGACAAAGGAACAAACGAAAGACGTATGAACTGAGCAATCAGTCACCGGCTCCCAATGGGCGCGATTCCCTGAATTCGCTCCGCTGCCTTGCGGACAGGCTATGCAGCCAAAGGCTCGGGGTGGTGTCCCCTAAGTCAACACCCTACTTCGGCTTGGGCAACCGAGTAGTATCTCGCCCTCTGAGGAAACCATGGACATTGTTGTGTTGTGTTTTGTTTTACTATTTCTGTACTTTCGTTTGAATCCCATGGTTTCTGATGGCATTATGTCTATTCGTAGACTTTTGCAAATATATATAAATATATGTATTGCGGCACAGTAGCTGAGGTGTTCCCTACCTCTAGCTAACGTGGATGATGATGACATGAAGTACTGCGTTCCTCCAAAAGGACTGACAAAGTCATTCTTGCCGGGGACTTTAACGCACGGGTTGGCCGCCTTCTACCAAGCGAGCACCACATTGGGGGTAGTTTTGGTCTCGGTGGCAGTCGATCAGACAATGGAGACAGATTGCTTGCTCTTTGCTCTGATCATCGCTTGTTTCTTTCGAGCACTAGTTTTCGGCACTCGAGGAGACACACTGCTACCTGGCGCTCGCCCTCACAAACGCAAGAGTGCTCCCAGCTTGACCACATAGCAATCAGCTACAGATGGCGCGGAAGCGTAACGGACTGCCGATCGTACTGGTCAACTTTTCTAGACTCCGATCACGCATTGGTTCCTGCTAAGATTTGCATCATGTCTTGGGACATCGAAGCCACTCGCTCGAGGAGCTCGTCTCACTGCATCAACTGCGGTGGTTGGGACACGTATTGTGTATGCCTGTCCAGCGTTACCCACGTCGTGCGTTGTTTGCACTTGCTGGACAGGGCTGGAAGAGACGGTCTGGTGGACAGCCTACAACATGGAGAAGCCGCATGAAAAAGCTGACAGTTGGTCTCGGCCGGTTGTTGTCGACTACCTGGTTGGGGTCCGAGAGATAAGGATACTTGCTGGTTGAAGACCTTGGAAGCCAAGGCTCAAGATCGATGTCAATGGCGGACGTGTGCATCGGTTTGCTGCGGTGTCCCTTCTTCCTCCCCCTAAGAAAAAGAACAAACTGAAAATTTTCAAAAACTGTGTGGTAAAGTAGACTAAATAGAGCTTTTGTTGTTGTTCTTTTCTTATTATTCACATTGTTTTCTTCTTCAGCCATGATTCCGATGGCGCAATATCTGTACCACAGATTGTGTATAATATATAAATATCTATATCTGGGTGGTGTCCCCATGCTGAGGCTGATGTTGCATTCTTGATGCTTCTTCACCGCAGTTGGGCTAAACCAACCTACACTTAAATAGGTCTTTTTAAGCTGGATAAATTTCCTTCCACTTTATTTGGTTTGTTCTGCCTACCTGAATAATGTTCTATTAACTGGCCACGTTGCTTACGCTAATTGCGCTTATCTTCGGTAATTTTGTTGCGTTTGTAGCATTTTTTAAGTAACTTGTGGACATTTCTCACTTATCGCGGATTCGTTGCTAGCCGACTTGCTTCATTTGGTAATTTAGGGAAGAGTTATGCCACCATATCTGTATGCATTATTGGATTTATTTTATATTAGCTTGTCGTTTAAAGTGAATGGCTGTAGCTTGATATCCCCGGTGTGGCTGCGCTTGATGTGCATGTTGATAAGGTGCCTACCTGTGTCTGTTACCCCCTACCTCGCCATTACTTGCTCCAGGGGACAGATGGTCATTGCTGGAGGGGACGGGGTGCACGGTTCTTGTGGCCGTGCTAGCCTCGAAGAGCGGTTCCATGCACTCAGTGTGGAGCAGACTACGGTCCAGCCACCGCCTTGTGTGCGCTTGATTCCCAAATACAGCGTGTTTGTGTTTGCCTGTGAAGGAGTGTGGGCCGGCTCCGTTGATGAAATGTTGCTCCCATCCACATGCCTCCCGGTCTTATTCCTTCGGGTTTACACTGGATATGATGTGCGTGGGTGGTGCAGCGCAAGCCAACCGTGGTCCCTCTATGGACGCAGGCGTCCTGTGGCTGGCCACAGTGACAGACAAATCCGAAACTGGGTGCCGCCAACCAACACGCTCGTTGCTTGGCAACAGTTCTCCATATCACCAGTTACCCTATCTTACCTGGCAGATGCTCACCACCGCTAAATGAATTAAATTCATTTTGCTTATGTTCAGCAGAATGATGTTCTTCAGATGGCACCTGCGGACGTTTTGTAGAAGACTCGACCTCTCTTTAGCATCTTTCCAAACCAAGGACCTGTTGATTGGGAAATCTCGCACTGGTCCCCAACAAGTGCGAGTGGGATCTCTCTAACCTCATCAGGCCAAAAGCTTGGACAATCAGTTAGTACCATTTGACTCTGGGGGAAAACATTTAACCATTACCGACACTGTGTCCTTCTGTCAGGTGCCTTCATTATTATCTGCTAACACTGGCACTCTACCTGTTATGGGAATAGCTGGTCGTTTAAGCTGACCTTTTGTGAGGGTCAGCTAGAAATCGTTCAAAAATACAACTACCTGGGAAGTTGTATCAGCGCCCGTGGGATTGAAGATGAGATCACGAACCGTATAGCAAAAGCTTGGGGCGCTTTTGCTAACCTTCGCCACTTATGGCGCCCGCACGACGTCATCATCAACAGCAGCAGTACATCAGCCATTTGGATTAATGCTTCACTACCATACAACCATAATGGCATATGAAATAAAGAATAATAAGAGGGAGAGAAAAGGAACTTACCTGAAAACCTTGATGCCCTAAGCAAACATTCAGGGTCAAGGCGCCTAAGCCTTGTGTAGACAACATACCGTCACAGCTGGTTATCGTGCAAAGATAACGCGACATCAACGAGACAGCTTCCTTGGGACTTACACTGCCCCACGTCATAATCAGTCTGCAGATAAATCAGCACCAAACATACTCTAAACAGTCAATCCAATTAGAAAGCAGCAGACGCGCCACTAATGTCGACTGCGAGCCATGTCCTGTAAAGTCTCGAGCCAGGCACAAGGCGAGTCACGTGGACTCCAGCCCGGACGACGAGACGGACGAATCGCACCCAGTTTGGTCGTCCGTGACTTCTGCTCCCGCTGCCAAGTCCACTTCTATCCACCTCGAGCAATGCGCCACCCTACACCTGGTAGACTGAACAAGACCCTCCTCGGTAAGTGGTGACCAGGCATACGTAGCACGTGCCCTTGCCAACACAACTTATTTAGTGCTATCAGTTCTAAGGAGCGCGACTTCACTCTCGCGCTAAAGGGTAGAGTGTACAATGCAGCGGTACGTTCGACCCTACTGTACGCTTGTGAAACCTGGCTCCTTAGATCAACGGACATAAAGAGGCTAGTTAAGTTCGACCATCGATGCCTTCGCAGTTTGACTCAAATCTGGTGGAAATACCTCGTGAGCAACGAGCGTGTTCGGCGCCTTATTTACGGCACAAGAAAAGGAACTGAACCGCACAGCGCCGTTATTTCAGGCACCAGGCTCCGGTGGCTCGGCCACATGTTACGCATGCCAGCCCTCCGACGCTCACGACGTGCGTTGTTTGCGGGAGTGTGGATGGAAGAAGAGGAGTGGGGGCTAAGCGTTGACTTGATCGAGAGGAATGAAGGCCCTCACTTCGAAGCTGGCCTCAGTTGGAGCGTATCGGCTACCTGGTTGGGGTTCGAAAGATGATGAACACGTTTGGCTGGATACACTTGTTGACATGGCTAGGATCCGACCTCAGTTGCGTTCGTGCTGTGAGTTTCTTTGTCCCTGTCCATCCCTCTTAGCCTCCCCCTCCAAGCACGATCTCACTATTTAGCCTTATGTAATTTTCATAGCCGGCTGATAGCTTACCGGAGCGATGCCTATCCGCTACCGGTAGCTCAACTGGCTTGCGCCTGTTGCATTCCCCCTTTTTTCTTTTATGTATTGTGGCACGGTAGCTGAGGTGTTTCCCACCTTTAGCTAACGTGTATAATGATGATGATGACCAACGGGTTGTAGGCAATCAGGATTCCATTCGGTTGCTTCTAATGCAAATTGTTCACGTAGAGTGGAATCGGGATCGGCTCACCCTAAAATAGGACTAAGCATAGCTTTGTCACGAACGGCACCAAAGCGAATTGTGTGGAACAACCACAATCGGATTAAGCATGTGCGGTGGCCAACAGACAAAGGAGAGCTGACGCGCCCAAGCATGGGTTAAGGCGGACAGCGTAGACGGAGCAGAAGTCGATTGCAGGGTACAGAACTAACGGACCAATGAACACAGAGGCCACGGAAGATGCAAAAAATGGAAAATAACGAATAGGAAGAGCTTGGGACGAAATAGTGCCCCCCAATTCTGTACAGCGTAAACGATTCCTTACAAATAACACCTTTTGATCGTTGCCCAGCCTTTGTTTTTACTCTTGGGGGCTATGCGATACCTGTCGTTCTGACTTTGTGCTCTATACACATTTATTTATTCCTTTACTTATATGCGCATGTGCATGTTCCATCATTCCTTTTGTTGTAAATTTCAGCTGCGATACTTCAGCAATCTCGTTTCTTACATGTATATGTGAGTGCGATCTGGCCTTACTGTCATGATTGCGTCCGCTCCCGGAACCGGTGGGAGCAGCACTCCGGACTCTGCAGATTTCGGCCGCGCTGGTACCCCGGAATTAGGCGATGAGCTAAGCGAGCTTGTTCCCATGCTTGATTCAGTTCATTTGGCCCCGCACAAAGTAAGCGAGCAATTCTTACCCACAAAGGAACATGAGAATTCATACCTTTTTGTGTTATCCATCTCTTGCATCACACCAGTGATGCGCTTTCTGACACACTTCATTTGGCCGATTGATCCACCTATCTCGATGGCCACTCCTGAAGCATACCTGCTTTGGGATGCATCTTCATCCTACATGCCATATGCTTTTATGTGCCCAACCACACACCCCACTTTGAACTGATTGTTCTCTTTCCGTTTTTCTCTATTTACTGGCATTATTTATTTATTTATTTACTGGCATTTATTTACTGGTGCATTTGATGTCTACATCTGTAGGACTTGAGCCTAAACAAATTTCGTTAAGGCAGAGCGATGACAGATGTTGCGATATGTCAACATTTCTTTTGTTCTCTTCAGTCGCAAACACAATACGAGCAGAAACACACAAGGGATTATACACATGGAAAAAATAAACACCACTAATCAAAATGTCACAGTCAGATATCCTGAGAACTTTATTCAGGTACACAGCAGACCTCCCAGCGTGAAAACACTGGTGTTGACGACTGAGAAAATGGATGTTTATTTGTTCTTGCCGTTCAAGGGGATCATGTGGCAGAGTATCGGACGCAAGCTCCGATCCGCCCTAACGCGAACCTACACGACAGCCCAGTTGCGACTCAGGCATACGACGCGAGCACTTGTTCTTCATAACCGTCAGAGCATCTCGTCCGGTAGTTCGGCCTCTCACGTTGTTTATCATTTCACCTACGGTTGCGGTGACATTTACATAGGCAGAACAAACCGTCAGTTAGCTCAGAGGGTAGCTGAATGCCAAAATGGTTGGGACAAGTGATTACGCAACAACATGGGACGAATCTGAGAATCAATCGGAGCCTGGCATCGTTTATCACCAAGCACCTCATGACAACCCGTCATCACGTGAACCCCGAGACAGCGTTCAAAGTGTTGTTACGTAACAAAACCCGACAATGCTGGCAATTAGTGAGGCTTTGTTAACTAAGGCCTGTCAACCTGTGCTATGCGCACAGAAATTCTTGAGGTAATCAATTCGGCTGCCATGGTCTTGACTATGACATTTTGGTTAGTGGTGCTTATTTTTTCATGTCTATTATCCCTTGTGTGTTTCTGCTCGTATTGTGTTTGCGACTGAAGAGAACAATGGAATTGTTGACATATCGCAACCTCTGTCTTCTCTCCGCCTTAACGAAATGGCTGAAGGGACCCACTGTTTTGCTTTCCTATACAAACTGCTGGTGTTGGCCTTCTCTTCCACACCGTTTTACTATCCATTTTCAAGATTTCCACTAATATGTGATCTCTCGGTATGAAGCACCGCATTCAGTAATTACCCTGTTTGCTTATTTGCAACTTTTTACTCGAAATGCTCGCTAAGCTGACGCGATCTCAATCTGCTCTTTGTGTGTGTGTGTGTGTGTGTGTGTGTGCTAGTTTTCACCTCGTGACCCACTGACAAACTTAGGGTGTGCCAACAGTATAGTTGTTCCGGGTGATCCCGGTCTTTGCGAATGCGCCTTTGGACAGACTGACGTCGATCACTGTGATGCGCTGCAGCGTACATGTCTCATTGTTTCAGACAATTAACCGACCCATAGCCTAAAGGTAACGACCTTGTCTTGTAATTGACGGCGCGGGTCCGAGCCTGCATAGGGGCAGGGCGACCCTCACAGTATCCTTAACCCACGTGCCCCTAGTGGTGATTGCGCGATAACGATGCGTTGGTACTGCGTACCGATGTACTGTTAATGCCCTTTTTTTAGAATACACTACGCTGACTATCAATGTATTGGGCAAAGTACCTTTGGATGTGGTCGCGGTCATCGATTTTCCTGTCCTTGATGTGCTTGTGTATCAAGAGGAAAAGGAGGTATTTTGTAGGGACAATGTCCGGGCTACATACTGCATGTATTATCGTTTCGGTACCGAGCTGCTGCATTTTGAGACGCATCACCTTTGCTACATGAGGACTCGCGTTGTCACGCAGGAGAAGGATCCGAGCAGCTCTCGGGCGCTTTCTTCGTTGTTTACCATCTTTTGCGGTCGTTGGCAATAGACATCGACGGTAATCGTGAAATTACTACGTAGTGGTCCTCAATAGATGACGCCGCGGTGACCTCATCAGACCAACGGCATCACTCTTTTACCATACTGTTCGCTTTTTAAAACTTGTATTGACGTTTTAGCTGCTGTGATCCGCTGGCACTTCCTGCTATGGTTGACATGGAGCACCCACTTCTCGTCTTCAGTAACGACATCTTTCAGCCGTCAATGACTACATTCTCGAGTAAACAGTTAATGGGGTGATAGCACAACGGTTCAGTAGCTGATCATCAGTCAATTCTTGTGATGCCACTTGTTCGACCTTTGGAACCCTTCTGTATAGACGCAACTGGTAACGATCGAAGGTTTTTGGTCGGCTTAGGTCTTGCTCCAGTGGGTCCTGCGTGTTGCTGACAATGCCCGCTAGGGTACGTCCTTGACCTCCTATGCTTGAAAACTTGCAGCTCCCTATTTTTTAACCTACGGAACAAAAATGCCACCATACACACTGCCCAGTGAGTCACGCAGATTTCGACAAGTGTCAACCGCTTTGCATCCTCGTAAACAATTGTACAACAGTCATTCAAAACAGTTTGTTGATCAATTGCCAATACCCTAGCCATTGCTAAGATTGTTGCCCCGAAGTGTCCCCACATTAAAGGAGCTTCTAGAAAATTCTGGAATCGTAGCGAAAAAGTTTCAGTTGACTTCGGGACAGCCCAATAAGTGACTGTGTTTCTTCTATCCACACCGAGGAGGTTACGGCGCTTTGCGCGGTTTTTCGAAACCACAGAAACAGCGTGGTCTCAACCTATCAGTCTGCGACAGAGTTTCCAACGCTTAAGTGCGACCACTTCAAACCTCTGCACTTTTAGAGACACCAACTGATCAGTCAAGGTTGATCACCGGTGTTTGCATAACTGGTTAGATCACTAACTGAGCAACGCCGTTTTTTTACTTGGTGTTTTGCCACAAACCACCTATCCCCCTTAGTGAGTCGCTTTTTACGGCTAAATCGCTTACATCGATTGGGTTGTGTGTTTCGTTTGCAATTTAACCACCGACTTCGACATACACTTTTTTGGTGCTGTGCGTCATAGTGGCCAACGCGTCACAGCCAAAATCATGAGAGTTAACATAATACTATGCAAAATTGGCAGCCACTATCTCACCGTATAGAAGGTCTGGTGTGTAGATCACATCTTGTCTACTAATTTTTTAGGTTTTCCCTCATTTTTCTTCATTTCGATTGACCTACTGTACCTCCGTTATCAGGACATAACTCTGACTACACTGAATTCTCAGATCCTAGTTGTCGTACATCCAGAAGCTCAGCCGCTATTTCTGCAACACTACCATATTAGGGGATCGAAGCAAGCGAGCCTACGATCAATCATCGCTGTTTGGATTTAGAACATCAACCAGAGATTCCGCGCAACACTACAAAATCAAATCAAATCAACAACAGCAATACATCAGCCATTTGAACTGATTTTTCGCTGCCATACAACCATGATGACCTATGAAATAAGGAATAATAAGTGGAAGAGAAGGGGGACTTGCCAGAAAATCTTGATGCCCTAAACAAACATTTAAGGTCAAGACGCCTACACCTTGTGTTGACAACATACCGTCACGAACTGCTGGCTATCGTGCAAAGGCGGCATCGGCGAGACAGCTTCCTTGAAGCTTTCACTGCCCCGAGTCATAATCAGCCATTACCCCGTAGATAACACAGCACACAACACACGTTAAATAGGCAGCCCTGCGTACGGCTACCAGTTAAGTTCAATTCAAGTTGTGAACCCTGTTAGAGGTTTCACTGATTGTATCAATCAATTTGCATCTCCTGTGTGGTTCACTGGGTCCACTGTGTTTAGTAACTTTGCTTCAGTCCATATGTATCACCGTACATCATTGGCATAACACCATCTTCTTTGTCACACACTCCTATGATGTTGGAGCGTTTTTGTGCTATCATAAGATGCTGTAGTTTGTCAACTCTATTGAAATTGTTCATTTTTTGAACTCATATTCTTCAGCACTTGTCCACTGTCTGAGCGCGAGTCACACTTTTGCAACTGGATATAAAGTTTAAGCAAACCAACGTACGAGTTGCGGCTTCTGTTGTTTGCATTGAACTCCTTCGGAGCAACATAGCCACTTGGTTTCAAATTACGAAAGCCGAACCCACCAGGAAATCAGTCGAACGATGTTTGCATCATTTCGAGATAGTTTATCTGGTCGCAGCGATGTTCTTTTGGTGCCCGGTGAAGTGTTTGAAACGGAGAGGACCAATGCCATTGAAAACAACCAATTTTTTGAAGGCCCTTGACGGTACAAAAAGCTGTTCTCTCGAAACAACAGATCAACAAAACAGTTCGCAATCATGTCATGCTTAACACAATATCAGCACAAACTTTTTGTGTGTGATACAAGGTAGTCTAGCTATTAGGACCCGATTACAAAGACCGAATATATATTGATCACAATCTATGTACAGCTATTGTACCATCGGAACCATGGTGGAATAGGAAAACAGGGTTAGAGTAAAAAAAGAAGGAAAACAGACAATTTTTGTCCACTTTTCCATTCACAGTTTTTGAGTTTTTTCTGATATTTTTTATTGGGAGAGGAAAGGGAAATCGCCGTAACAAGCAGAGATACACGGCCGCCGCTGAGGTTTCATTTCGAGCCATGACTTCCAACGTTTCCAACCAACTGCACTCAGCATCCTTGGGACCCCATCCAGGGAGTCCGGAGGAACCAACCGTGGCCAGTTGTTTTGTCGGCTTCTCCATCTTGCTTCTCCACGTTGTAGGCTGTCTACCACACCGCCTCCTCCAGCCCTGTCCAGCGACCACGAACAAGGCACAACGCGGTAGATGCCGAACGGGCAGATGCAGTACGTGTCTAAGCCATCGTTGTCGGCGC